ACAGAGACCAATTAAATAAGGGGTGCCTGACTTCCATTATTCGAGCCAGTTTTCCAGTATACTTATTATTCACATGATCAAAACCACTTCTTACAGACTTGGGTTTGATTGTGCTCGTAAGTAGGTGGTGTTTTTGCAGGTCATGCACTCAAATCTTTCCCAGAGGTCTGGGATCTCAAATCAGACACTGGGAAATGAGGCACACACAGTCAGTGCAGCCACTTAAGATGACATTTCACAGCTTGTGTATCATTGCACAACATCTCTGGGGCAGCATCAGAGATGGAATTCAGCTTTCCAAGAGAGTGTGCAGTTGCCTCAGCTGCAAGTTTTTTTTGTATTTGCTTTCCTTTGCTGCAGTCCTCTCTTGCATTGTGCTGCAGAGCAGGATGTAGAGCTTCAACAGGCAAGTTTCCTGCACCTCTTGAGCCTGAGCAAAGTAGGTGGAACATCAGATGCTTGTATTGTGACCGTAAACATCATGGGCAAAAGAAACACACACTGGAGTAGAGGAGCACAAAATTAACATGGCATGCTTTAGTTCATGTTTTAGGTGAAGAACTTGTAGATTAAAAAATATTATTGTGGATATAACTCACTTTGGTTCCTTTTTCAGTAGGTGCTGCAAATTGGGGGCTGCAGTATTTTAAAAAGGACTAGGGAAAGATATGCAAGCATTGATAGTTTGCTGAAGAGACAAATATTACAGGAATGGTAGACAGCAAAGAGAAAAGATGACCAACATGAAGGTGTCTGGCTGCCACATAAGATGTGTGTACAGGAACTGCTTTTTAATATAGCCAGGCATGGATTTACATATTCAGGAGCAAGAGTCTACACCATACATAGGGAATAAAGTACCTTAAGAAGCATGATATAAAATATTAAAGTTTAAGAACAATTTTATTTATGTATTTATAATACCAGCAGGGTATGGGGGAGTCTCTAGTGAGTAGTTATTTCCCTATTAATTTTTACCAGTCTTAAATACTTTATACAGTCTGTGCAGCAATAGCTTAAAAATCGTGTGTTCCAGGTGTGCTGAAAGAAAAACTTTGGTAATGGAAACATCTAGCCAATAGAAGGCCAAAAAAGCTGATAGCTGGAAAAATAAAGAGTAAAACAAATAATCCTAGAGAATGCTGTCCTTTGTAGTAGAATACTTAACGTGAATGATTCAAGTTGATAGGAAGTTCTGCATTATCATAATAACTAAATAAATGCTTCAAATACTGAGAGGTTAGAAATTGTTATCCATAATTCTGGTAGATAGCAGCTGTCAGCTTCTGCTTATAAATAGTATCAAGTGCTCTAGTGTTTGTGAGGACAGGAGAAATCCATAGCCAAAAAATGAAAATTGTGAGGCGGAAGCTGTAGAATTGGCTCTGAAGTCGTGATTTAAAACTTAAATAGTTTACTTCCTGAAATTCAACCACTGAGCTATTAAAGGAGCTTCACAGATTTTCAGTTCAAAATTCTTCAGTTTTGATTTATGGGTAGTCTACCTTTTTCAAATTCTAAAAATTCTAAAGACTGATATCCCTTAATATTTAATAATTTCAATTAGATTATTTCAGTCATTTATTTAGCTTCCCATTCAATATTAATTGGATCTTCTTGATTTGATAGCTGCGTTATATCCTTCTAGCTTTGTGTAATCTTGTTAAGAACATTGTAATTTGATGCTTTCTTTTTCCTTTAATGTCATCAATTGATTTTGATTTTTTTTTCTGTTTTTTACAGTAATCTCTTCTTGGGTAACTTTCTGGTTGAAGCTGGGCCTAAAAGTGACTTAATATTTCCTCTTCTGTGCAGCAGTAGAAAAATTTGCTCTTTCCTCTGCTGTTTCATGATGTATTTTTGATGTGAATATTTTAGTGAAATTACCACTCTACAGATGATACTTAGATCAGGAATTCAGTTTTGTCAAACAGTCTGATAGAGAGGGAAGGCAGATAAAAGTAATCAGTTTAGATTTAATCCTGATAAGACATGCAGTGTTTTCAGGATGGTAGAAAGCTTGCAGTGAAATTGTTATTGTGTGTGTACAAGTGTGCCAGGTTCACCACTTGACAGTTACAGTTTGTAATCATCTTGGGTTCTTTTTCTGGTCGTGGGGTTTTATGTGTTGTCACACACATCAGAACTCTTTTTGCCATTTTGTGTTCATCATTAATCAAGATGGAGGCCATTAATACACATTTTTACTACTACTATTGACACTTTTTTCTCCCTTAAATGCAGACTATAGTAGAATATAGTACTGTAGTGTGAATTTACACCATGGTTACTCCAGGTATCTCAGATTCCCACAATTTACTGCCTCCTCACCAGTACCTCATTCTCGCACGCATGAAAGAGCTCGGAGAATGTTGTGCTGCCACAAATGGAGCAGCTGAGTGATTATTTCTCAGTGTGTTTCTGAATTATTTGTCTGTTCTGGGCAGATGGGAGAAGTGTGGAAGGAAGAAGGGTAGAACTGTCCACTTCTGAAAGATTTCACTCCCAACTGGGTGAGCTGTAAGCTCAGAGGTTGTTGGGCTTTGGTCTTAGCTGGCTTTCAGCCCTGCTTCCTAATCTGAGTTGAAAGTACCATTTAACTGAGGTGAGAAGGGAACTGTGAGTGGGTTTGAAGCTCAGCTGACATCTAGGCTGAAGGTCTCTGGCTCTGCAGTATCCTGACTTAGAGCTGGAGTTAAGGGTGGTGGTTTGGTTTGGTGGGACAGACCCAGTGTCCTTATTCTGTGATCTGAAATGGGTTTGTATTTGTTGGAATTCTATTTCAAAATATTAGTTGTAGTCCTGTAAAATCTGAAATTATATGTTATACTGGTTATCAGACAGTTTACTTGTGTTTGTCACTGAGTTGAAGTAAACTAGTAAACAGTTTACTGTTGATTCCAACAGTAGTTGATTCCAGTCTTTCAACTTTTAATGGCCAGAAGCCCTGCAGCATTTCCAAGGGACTGTCAGCATTCAGATTTATTAAATATTCACAAGTAGTCTATGGTATGTTTGATCAGTTGGCCAAAAGGTGAAGCTGCTCAACCTGTGTTTCGTATTGATGGTGCCACCAGCTGTGGCAGACATAGAAAAATTTGAGAAGATGAAGCAGATGGCCAAAATTTCATCATTACTCTTCAGATTTTTTTCTAACAAAGAAGAATCTTGATTAAAACAAATTTGATTTCTCTGGGGCTCTCAGTCTGCTTGCTGTGTCGTTGGATTGAAGAATATAGGGTTAATTGTGATTTGGACAATAAGTTTTCAAATGTGTTTCATCAGAAGAATGTGTAGTTTTGCATAACAGGTTGGTGTTTTGGAACCTTGTGAGTTCACACACTCTTCTACAGATTCACAATTTATTATTGGATGCCTATTGGAATGTGCTAGAATATTAATGTATATTTTCATGCATATTTTAATATTTATGTTAAAAAAACTGAGATCATTTGTGCAGTTCAGCTCTTATGTTGCATATTTGTAGAACCACTGGTGCATATTATGTTACTTGCCTTTTTTAGGTGAATAGTAGAAATCATCACCCTTTTCATTAGTCATAAAAAGGACAGTACATCTTTTAAAAGTCAATTTTTGTATTTCTACAGGGTGTCTTTTGGTTTTTGGGATAGTTTAGACTTTTCACCAGCGTGCTGCATTAAACAGTTTGAACCATTTTTAGTTCTGTAGAAGACAATACACAGCTGAAAAATTTGAGGGGGAATGGAGAAAAATATTACACTTGTGTCTTACAAGCAGCTGTACATTTGTTTTCTTTCCAAACACTAACAAAGCCAACATACACTTCATGTGCCACGGGTTTGGCTCAGTGGAATTGAAGGAGTTATTGCTTTTGGATTCTGCTGATCTGAGGAAATATTACATCATCAGGGGCAGTGTTGCAGTTGTTTTTAAGCAGGTACTCAATCCATTTCAAATGAAACCCATTTTCAAACGAAATCTAGCCACTGCTGTGTTTGAAGACGTGTTAAGAACTGCCATTTCTTAGTAAGCTTAAGGGAAAACTCTTGCCTGCAGTAGGGTAGGAGGGGAAGGGGGAAGAAACACAGCACCTACCTCTTTGGTGCCCAAGGTTGTGGTGATAGAGATGGGAAGATCTGTGTTAAGCCTTTGTGCTTCTGCCTTCCTCTTCTCACAGCAGATGAGGTTAAAACTAGGGCAGTTACCCTGACAAATGTGGACAGATTGTTTTGAGACAGTGTTGTAGATTTATTCCCAGGCTATCTTACCAGAGCTATATCACATGGCTGTGAGTGGAAAAAAGCTCCCTGTTTAGGATGATTATGGAACCTGAACTAACTACAGTCCCATTATGGTTCTTACCATCATAGTGGTTTCATTAGCAGTGTGTATGTTTGAAAATCTTGAACTACTAGTAAATTCAAATCTGTTGTTGCTGCACTTACTTTAGTGAAGATCTTAACTTATGCATAGAATTCTAATCTTGGGGTTGGCTGCAGATAGTTACTACTTTTGTGGTGAAAATAATGGGCAGCATTATAGGAAATCTACAGGGAGGCAGAGCTATGTTCCTACTACTTCAACAACTTTGATGCTATATAGGATAGACCTGAACACTATGAAAAGCTAAACAGATTTTCCTACTTATGTATGCTGCAGCACTCCCTGCAGTAAGCTAGTCACTGGAGTCTAATGGATGTGATATGACAACTGAAAAAAATGACAGAGCAAAGATTTTAAAGAAAAAAACCCTACTGGTTTAATGTTCTGAAGAAAAGAATCAAATACCTTTGCCTCTGTTGAATATTTAAGAGCTTGTAATTTACATGCTTAGAAATGTGCCTTTGATCTTTTCTGATTTTTATAGGATCTCAGGTGTCTTTTTTTGTTTATAGATGGGGAAAACATAAGACAGAAATAAATTTTAAAATTTCTTTACAGGTCACTTTTAAATATCTACCAGGTAGAATTGCTGTCTGAGGAGATTCTCATAGTTTGTGTTTGATGTGCATTTGCAGTGTCCATATATGGGATTTGGTTTTATGATAAGGAAGAATGCCAAAGAATTGCAGAGCTCATGAAAAAGTAAGTGATGGGTAACCAAGACTTTTTTATGTGCTTTTTTTATGTGTGTATTTCTGTACATACATGCACATTATATTTCTAGAATGATCATACCTTTCTGCTTTAAACCTATATTTGTAAACTTTGTTGCAGTTGTCAAGCCTGCATTTTGTATAATCAGAAATAAGTCACTGTATTGCAATACTTTTTCCTAATTTGCAGTGCAGCTTTCCAGCTACATCCGAGTGTAACAGTTGATATGATTTATTTCCTGATGACTCAGAGATCTGTTTTGAAGAATTGTTTTCTTTGGGGGTTTAATATATTTTTCAGTTTGGGGAGATTTTGATTTTCAATGTTACTGTTACCTTTTTTCTTCAATCAAGGTAAGTGCAGGCTATCTTGAAGGCATAATATATTAATACAATTTCTGTGGGGTTTGTCCTGTTTGTACATCATGACTGAATTCCTGCTTCTTCATTTCTTAGTGATATGTACAAAATTCACTTTGTTTTTGGAATATAAAGCAGGACTTCAGTTATCTTTGAATTTCTTACTTTCGTGTACATAAAGATGTTATTATTTTATACGTATTACAGAAGCTTTAGTTTTGCAGTCAAGTTGGAGATCACACAGAACTATATTCTCAGCTGGTTTTTAATATAAGAATGTCATGGATAGTTTTTTCCACTCTCACTCCTTTTTTCATGTGTTCAGGATGGACAAGGCTCATTCTTCTGCTCTGCCCTCAGGCAGCCTAATTATGGGCTTGTTTGCAATGAGCCTTTTCTTATGACTGTGTTCTGCAGGATTTAATGTTTGCTTGGAGGAGGAAAGAGCTGAAGTCTCACAAATGTTATCAATATATGCAATCTAAATTTTTTAGAGCTATAATGTGGAGGATATACTGAAGGGGCTGGGTAGGAACAGGATATTCCAGTTTCCTGTGGTATAGAGGGCTGGACATATCATTGCATCACAAATCTTGCAAGGGACAGGAGGAGGGATGATGTAGAGCCACGTCTTTATCATCCCAAGCAAAGCCATGGGAAGTGGGTGCAGTCAAGCTGACAGTATTAGGTGCTAACAAAGCACAGTGCAAAGACCTGTGGAACTCTCCTTTTCAGGTCATCTGTCTCAGTCCTAACAGGTTCTGTAGCCAGAGGCTTGCTGAGGGAGTGACATCAAGTTTGATTGCCAAAGTTGCCAAGTGCCCAAAAGCCCATTTATGTGCCCTTGCAGTACAAGTCCACACAGGGCTCATCCTCACACCTCTCAATTCATAGCAAAGTGCTCTAACTCTTCTCCTGCTATGTTCCAGATCGGATTTGTGATAAAATACTGGATGGGAAGGTAGTCATGTTACCTCTGTACATCCTTTTTTAAAGTACTACCTGCTGCTTTTCATTTTGCAGTGACAAAACATTGTGAAACACTGACTGTGACAGCGTTGAGGGTTTGTTTAGTGGGGTTTGTTGGTTTTACTGTATATCCTACAGCTCTAAAATGAGTCAGTTGTGACCCAAGAAATAATTGATGGGGATGAATTTACAGAAATAAGCAATGAACCCCAGGAAACCCAGGTTTTTGACAGCTCGTTTCAGTTAACTAGCTCAAGTTTCAGTTGGTGGTGATTAGGTGCTCTCAAACTGGTAATTTACTACAATAAAACCTAGTTTTCAGAGGATTCATGCAAATGTAAACCACATGTAGTGGTTTATAATAGCAGTATTTCATATAGATAAAAAATACCCTGTTGCTCAGCCAATTGGCTGCGTGTTTTAATTCTCAGCATTCTACAATAATAGTAAAACAGCTGGGGTAGGAAATTGGTCATTTGCTAGTAGTTAATGCCTGATTTGTGTGTGTTTGCCATCCTCCACCACCAGCAGAACTGAATAACACTATAAATTCCCTGCTCCTTCTGGATATAGAAATCGTGACTCAGTTACAGAAATTTTATTCTGTGGTCTAGTGTATTCAAGATGGGAGCAAATTGATCTCATGTCAAATTATGGATTTATATAGATCTTTTAATAGAGATCTTTTTAATACATACTTTAACGTAGATAGGGGGAAAACAAAAATATTTGAGTTTCAATGAAGCATTGTACGGTAGTTGTGGTTAAACTTTTTATATTTTATCTGGTTTTTTTGTCTTGTATATTCTCCTCTCCCCTCCAACTTTCAGCCTCACTCAGCAGGAACAATTCAAAGCCCAGCAGGGCACAGGAACAGGAGTGTCCCCAATGCTTATGAACTCTGCTAACAACAAAGAAGTGGATATCTTACGGATGCTCACCAAGGCCAAAGATGAGTATACCAAGGTGAGACTTGCTGTTTATGAAAAGAAGATGTTTCTTTTGGGCAATGCTATGATGCCAACATGCTCCTGCTTTACATTATGAAACATAAAAGGTTTGATTTTGGTTTGTTTCCTTTTTGAATAGTTTTGCTCAAAAGTGAAGTGCTTTTGGACAGTGTGCTCTCTTGTTTTGTGGAGCAGCTGGCAGAAAAGTTCTGACAGAATTTGCTAAGGGTTCAAAAGAAATAAATGCCATCAATAAAAACTTCTGGAAGGAGAACATGTATATGATTGATTATTTGTTGAATGGTAGAGAACAAGTATCAATTGCCTTTCATTTTTATCCTTAGATCTCCTGTGCTTTTTCTGGGTGAAGTGTTCACCTGGTAATAGTTTCTGAGGTTTGTACAAATGACTTGGCTCAGAGGAGGCCTTTGACAGTGAAGTTACTGCTTTTAATTGTGGTTGTTAGCTACTTTCAGACACTAATGGAAGGAAATGAAAAGGTTGAAATGTAGTATGGTTTCAGCCCATGTGCTTCTTTGGTCTTCTGAGGCTTCTAAATAAAGAAGTAACTAATGGACTAATAATGTTCTCTATTATTGAGCAATCAAAAACGTTTTACTTTGGGGAATAAAAATCTAATAATTTTAACTATTCATATAGAAGCTGCAAATTGTTACAGAGCCTGCAGGTTCCTGCTGCTGTTTCCTGTACTGCTTATGTGCTGTCATGCAATAATAAAGCTCATAAGTGTTCTGAGTCTAGAAATATATATATATATCTTTTTCTCTCTTTAAATTTCATGTTTATTTTTTTCTGAAATGTAGCTACAAATAACATCCTCAGAAAGATAATAGCAAACTGTTGAGTTATGGTGAGATCCAACCTTTTTTGTTGTGGTATAGTTTCTTTTGAAGCTTGGGGCCTTTGTATTTTCTGATTTAAAGTATTATGGTGGACAAACACTTCCAGAAACGGGTATATTTTCTGTGTTTTAATACTGAATCAGTATCTAGTGTTGGCATTAGAGAGTGTGATCTGAGATGTTACCAAATGTTTAAGAGATTTCCATTAAATAATCTTAAAATACTGTAAATGGAAAACTGGAAAAATATTAAGCTGTCTTCAGATTCTGTGAAAAGGAGGTAATAAATCTAAAAGAAGTTACCTTCCATTTCTACATTAGCACACAGAAAATCAAGACAAAGAAGAGGAAATTCTGTTGTTTAAATAACAGCTTTTAGGAGTTTTCCCTTTGCAGATAAGATCTTTTGAAAACCTGCTTCTTACTTCATCTTTGAATCTTTGTGCATTTAAGGGATTGCCAAGAAAATAAAAACTAACATGATAACTTCCTCTTCATCTGGAACATGAGTACTAGGAGTGTCTTACCTCTTAAGAGCAGGATATGTGTGATTTCTTGTCTTGTTAGCAATATAAATTTCAAAAGAGTGTGATAGATAAAAGCAATGACAACCATTTTTGTATTTAATGTCAATATGTTTTGGAGCATGTTTTGGCTGCTTTATGACATCCACTTTATTGCCAGTGTATGTATTATGAATTAAAATGCTGACGTGGTAAAACCAGTTATGAAATACGTTGTGCTCCTTTTTGAATTCTGTGTTGTTTCAGTGAAGAGGGTGTTTTAAAGTATTGGAAGACACCAATTTTCTTGGTGTTCTTTTAAGGAAATTTGCTCAATTTTTAGTGGTGTAACTGATTTTGAAGGGTATATCTCGTTCCCAAATTAAGTTACACGTTTAGAGGTTACATGCAAAATAAAATACATAGGCCCCTCCTCCTTTTTTTTTTCTTAATGGAGCTTTAAGATGCTAAATCACTGAATTATTTTTTGAAAACTGTGCTTCTTATGCACTTGCCTTCTCTTGATCTCTGGCAAGAAAAAGTGGTGTTAGCTGGCCTCATAATGATAGCCAGGGAGATAGACGGTAGAACAGCTCTGAGGGTACAGAACAAAGCATGACAAAACGTGTTTCTCCTCAACCATTGTGCCTTGTACTGCAGGACAAGCTCTGGTTTTAGCTCTGTGCTGCACAGATCTTCTCCAGCATCTACCCACTTACCACACCATCTTTGATTCAGTAAAGGTCAAATTAAGTGGATGTCCTTTGTCTACTTGATGTGTCCAATATAACTGAACCTTCCTTCTTTACTAAGGACACAACCATTTGATGAGAACATAATTTCTGGTAGTGTGCAAGCATGACCTCTGGACTTCTGTTTCTGTTCTTTGCCTGCATCTTCACTGGTTTTAAGCAAAATGTTCCACTGGTACTGCCCTGACCAAACAGGAATATAGTTTCAAAGTTTTCAGGTGTCTTAGCTTTTGGTTTATTGACTGTGTGAAAGACTTGATGGTAGGATACAGAAGGTCTGGCTTCCCTGAGAGCACTGCCATAGGCAGCCTGGATGATGCAAAGTTGACATTACTGTGCTTAAATAGTCTGAAGTGGTTCCATGTGTCTCACTTGAGCAGGGCTTTGACTGGAAAGCCTTGCTGCTACTGCTCTTCTGGGAGACAGTTCTTATCCTCTTTAGTTACTCTCTTCTGCTGAGCACCCTGTACACCTTCATGTGACTGTTCATTAATGTCATTTTGTGGCTGCACTACATCAGGTAGGTAGAAATCCTCACTTTCCACGGCCTTTTAGGTCTGCACTCAAGCTCTGACTTCAAAGCCCACTTTCTTTCTTTCAGTGCAGACATCAATTCACAAAGCTCTTCTAAGTTCCATCAAGCTGTGGCTGATATTCTTTCCTTGTACCAGACCTTCTAGCATCTCCTCCTTGTTCTTGTCAGTTCTTTGTAGCTCACATGTCTCAATGTCAGGTTTTCTCTGCAGAGCATAAGATTGGGCTGTGACGTGGTATTTGCCTCAGGAGAACTGCGGTGCTGAGCTTCCGTGCTTATCCATCATGTTTCCTTTGGCTGTGTCCTGTTCAGTTTGAGCTTCATGTTGTACAGGTGGAGACTGTGACATCTCACAACACAGAGCAGCTGCTTTCCTCAAGTGCCTCTGCCTGTACCAAACTCACCAAAACATCCTCAGTGATGTTCTTGCGCTTTTTGATTCGCGTTCACCACGTTTTGTTCCAATGTTGCCGAGCCTTTCTTTGGCTTGATCTTAGAACCTTTTGATTTCTTATGCATCCTTTGTAGGAGCATGGTTTTGAACAAGACAAAGTCAAATGTTGTAGCTGATGAGTTCTATCACTAAAGAGCATGGTGACATTTCTTTCATGCTGCTTTTTTCTGTTTGTTGATGATGACATCTGGTACCTCCTTTACCTGTCTACCTGACAGTTGCTTAAAATGTCATGCTAGTGCTCCTAACTTACTCATCAGCAAGGCCATGCTCCCCATCTGCCAAAATGGCCTTATATTCTGAGCTCCAACAGTCACAGATTCTTTTGAAATCATCATAGACTTTTTTTTCTCTTCAATGTACTACTCTGTGTTTGATACCAGCCTAGTAGCCATGTTATTAAATCACAGCAATGATACCAAGTCAGGTCAATGTCATTCTCTGTAGGCCTTTGTGTATACTGATGTTCATTTTGCTGAGGAATTTGGTCTGAAAAATGCTTATATAATGTTAACTCTGATAAACTCTGCTGCCTCTTGCCTCATTTTTATATGCTTAGTTCTGTGATCATGCAGAGCATGACAGTGGAATCTAAGGTATTTATGGTTTCTGAAGAATTAAGCCTTTTAAAATATCCTGAGGAAATAAGGATATTATTTAAGTTCTGCAGAACTCATTGTGAAATATTCAAGAGTATGTTATCCACCGTGTTAAAGAAAAAGCTTATGTGGGTTACGCTGAAAAATAGCAATAAGAAGGAGGTATGTTGAAGAAAAAGCAGCATCATTAGAAAGAGAACAGTTTGGGAGAAAAAAGCTATTTAACCTTGCTGAAGTGCAGTTTTGGTCTATGTAGTATCATGTAGGATCTGTCCAATCTGAAAAACAAAATCGTCTTCGCTTGTTTTAGCATAGATCAAATATGGGCTTCATGCTGCCTATCCTCATCCTCCCCCACCAAGTGAGTCTTCATCACTCCAGACTTTCTCACCAGCCTCAGGGGCCTGGCATTCCTGAGGACAAATGTTGCAGAGGAAGCATTCAGGACCTCCTAGAGCCCCTTAAGTCCCCAGGAGAACTCTGGTTCTGCTTTACTGAGCAGCCCTGGCACCAGCATGTCTTTGTTTATTGCTGCAGTAGGTGTCAGAAATCAATTTAATGATGAGTTTTGTATATTTGAGAGTGGGGGTTATTTTCTCACCTAGCCTAGGGAGCCAAGGAGTTTGTCTCAGAAAGTTCTGGAAAGAACACTGGCAGTGACTCTGGCAGTGACTCTGCTGTGTGTCCACATAGTCTGCCCAGCCCAGAATTCTGTTCCCAGTAACACACAAGACTGGGCTTTTTGGAGGAAAGAATGAGAAACCAAAATTGATCATTCCTCACCCAGCCATTTGTCCTGCAGTGTAAAATTTAGAGCCCATCAAATTCAGATAATTAACTGTGAATATTATTGTTGGATAGAATTAACTTTTTGTTAGATAATTCTTCTCAAAGTCTTTCCAGTTTTTTGGTTTCAATTGTATCAAGTGACAATGACTTCCAATATACTGTTTTCTTTTCTACTGACAGTAGTATTCTTTGTATACCCAAATTTTTTTAGTTTCATTGACTATATTCTTATATTTTACAATGTAAATAGGAGCATCTTATTCACCTTTTCCTTTTCTATCTCTTTCATGCAACATTTTCTGTGGGTTTTCTCTGAATTAAATCTTACCCTTTTCATAGGACAGTTATTCCATGTCCCTGATCACTTTTAGTTATTTGTCTCTGCCCATCTTTTTATAAATTTGTTATTAATATTGTCATATTTAATAAGAAAACATACTGATTTTACAAACTGATTAAATCTTTCATTAATTTTCTGTGCAGATATATGCATCCTCCAAGTTCCCACAAACTGAAGATTTATGTGAAAGAGTTTGAGTTATAATTCTGCTCTTTAAAAAACGCATTTTAAGTGTTCTTTATAGGCACATTTATCCTTTATGGATCTGAACTACTTCTAGCTGCCTATTGATGCAGGAAAAGCATGTCTGTTGCTTGGTTTCTAAAGTGCTTTTAAAAATTATTTTATGTTCTGTTAAGTGCAGGAAAAGCAGAAGATCAAAAAAAGTACTGAGATTTAAATTAGAGGGAAGTCTCATACTAGGGAAATGTTGGAATCAAGTGCTCATTTTTCACATGCCTCGTGGTTCTAGAAAATTAGGTTGCAGTTGTTATAGTTTTTCCAGTAGCATGATACTTCATAGTCAGTGCTGCAATTAGCATTTTTGGTTATTAAATACCTGTTTATGTCTGTGTTTTACTACAGTTGCGAACTATGGGGAAAAGATATTGTCACACCTACTAAAAGGTACTTCTTTTCTGTTGCAGTGTAAGACCTGCTCAGAGCCAAAACAAATAACCAGTTCCTCTGCAATCTATAACAACCCCAACCTAATCAAACCGATTCCAGTGAAGCCCAGTGAAAACCAGCAGCAACGCCTCTCTCAGCAAAGCAAGGTAAAATGTGCTCTGTGTTTTCTGACTGGGGCTGCTGTAATCAAATAACCCTGTAGGAATATTTATTTCAGTGGGAAGGTCAGTGCAGGAATCTGAGGTGGAACCACTGTAAGGAATGATTTTAATGCACAACTAATCTGTTTTATAAAAGCTCCCCAACCCCCACCGTACGATGTGGAAGCACGTGAATTACAGACGTGCTATCCTGATGCCACAAAGAAATATTAGTCTTTCAAATTTTAGATGCTTCTTTGATCACAAGTTTATCTGGTCAATTGCTGGACCACAGCTTTTGTGTTTTTTGTTTTTTCTTTAGGTAAAATAACTGAATCTAAATAAAGAAAAGTCTCAATATATCTTCAAGCCAAATCACACTGCCAAATCCTAAAAACTGAATTCAGCTGTGACCAGCAGATGCACAAGAAGCAGCCCTACTTCATACACAGGCAGATTTCTGTCTCTTACTAATATTGCACTGATGGCTGAAAGAGAAGATGCTCTCTCATGATATTTAAAGCAAAGCCACTGCTATATCTCAGATTCAGTGATTTTTCTCCCACATTAGCAGCTTGGCAGCAGTCTTCTTGCCCTTCCTATGTGACAAAACTATTAAAAACCCTCTTGGGGAAAAAAGAGCATAGCAGTTTTCTCAGCTTTTCCTTGAATACCGCTGGCTAAATACTGTCACCACTTAATGCAACTTAGGCGTGAGGGAACTACGCTTACTCTTGTCCTTTGTCCCCTCACAGAATGCGGATCCTGAACCACAGCACTTGTCTCTGACAGCGCTGTTTGGAAAGCAGGATGTCTCAGAACCACTTAACAAGCAGCAGCAGGAGAACCTTCCCGCCAGGCAGGGTGTGGTACGTTCGCTGTCCTACGAGGAGCCCGGCGGGCAGTCGCCCTCTGCGGAGAAGCAGCTCTGCCCCGCCATTCAGAAGCTGATGGTGCGCGGGACAGACCTTCACCCCCTCGCCGAGTTCCCCGAGAACCGGCTCTGCGAAAACGGCAGCATCCACCCCGCGGGGGAGACTTTCACAGGACTCTTCCAACCTGTGACTTCTCACGGTGTCGCGGCGTCTCACGTGGTTCAGGACGCTGCCGGCGCTCAGAGCTTGCTGCAGAAATTGCAGAGTCAGTCAGGGGCAGTGACAAAAATGGACCCCGGTGCGACAGCACCTGTGAACTCGACGGCTGCCGTGTTCAGCAGGACTCCTGCTGCTGTGGGAGCGCCGGCAGCCACGGGCAATAACATGAGCCAGCCACCTTTGGTGTACTTCAACGGGTCCCTACCGGGCCAGGCTTTAGAGGCTCAGACACTTGGTAAAGAACAATCCAAACTGCCCAGACAGCCACTTTCTCTCTCTGGCAATCAAGCAGCCAATTCTGGGGTGATTTCACCTCAAGAGTTACTGAAAAAACTCCAGATAGTGCAACAAGAGCAACAGTTGCATGTGTCCAGCAGACCAACGTTGGCAGCTAAGTTTCCTGTTGTTACTCAGACTACAAATACACTGAAACCACTGGAGTCCTGGATAGAAAAGGCACCGGGTACAGAAAAACAGAGTGCACTCTTTCAGGTAAATGGGAACTTTAAAAATTATAAATAAATAAACAAAATTCGTGCAGTCTTTTAAACCTGATGATTTATTATGTTAGTCTTTGCTTCATTTTGGCCAGCGTATTCTTGTAACTGTCTTCCCACATGTTGCACGTCTTTCATTTTGCAGGTGATACTTTAACAACGTCAGGTAAGTTCTGATTTACCAAAATGAGGTGTTTTAAGTGCTGAATGCCGCATCTCTTGCATATCAGGAATGACCAAAAAATACTGCAGGGTTGGGTTTTTCCAGAGGCCCTTTGAAAAGTCACCTACTTTTCAGTTCCCATATTTAGTCTCAGGCTGTTGTGTGTCATTGCTGGTTAATGAGTGTAATATTTTGGGTTTAATAATTTTTTCTACAAAATTAGTTATTGCTTTCTCTCTGTAGATATGCATTCTTCTGTATTCCAGTTGCTAAAGATGCTTAAAAGGTCCCTTGTTTTCTAACAGCAGCTTTCTGAAGTGTTTGTATATTGGTGAATTAGTTATCTTGTACCACACCTGTTACTTCTAGCTATTCATTAACTATTCTTTTTTGTTTGCTATCTATTATTTTGAAAAAAGGTCTTGTACCTAAATGCCATCAAAAAAGCAAATCCCCATAATTCTGGTGGTTTTGATCCTAAAAGTCAGATTGATGTCTTAAAAAATTCAGATGTCAAGAGACTGTATCTCTCTCATGAGTACTTTTTTCTGGTCTTCAGAAGAGCAGCACATGCAATTGCAAAATGTCCTATCCTGGACATTTCTAAAGGATCTTCTACACTAGAATGTCTTTACATGTCCTGTTTAGGGATGCATCTAAGCTCTTTTCAGCTTCCTTTATTGTGGACAGACCTTCCACTAGACTTGTGTTGTATTGGAGTATGACTTGTATTTGAGTCTGGAAGTTACTTAACAAATTGAAAAAGAATTCCCCTTTTCAGTGTAAAGTTCAGAAGCTGCTTTTCTATTGCAACTATTCCATTGTTCTATTTTATTCTATTTTTCTATTTCTATCAAAACCTGAATGAAAGACTACAGAATACTTCAATGTGCTCCAAGAATCCTCCCCATACTAGAAAGTTGTTCTATATGTGAAGAGGCTGAAACAGTCATTTAACAATATAAGGGCCACATCTGTCACTAAGTCTGTGACAGGTCAAGTTTTCTAATTCCATGAGAGAGGTCAGAGGAAGATGAATTTGATGTAGCAAATAGCCATCATTATTTTTCTTCTCTTAATTAATGCAGCATGATTTTGAATCTCTGTGTGAAAGAGTTTTTTGGGGATTAGTCATTAAAATTATTCAGAATCGGTTGCTTACAGATGGTAACTCTGACTTTCCAGTGGAGAGCTAAAGAATAAAAAGAAGATCCAGAGTCACAAAAAATCACTTGTTTTCACTGGGAATGGAACTTGCCTGCTTTCAATGTAAGAAGTTGTCTGATTCACTGGTACATGTACTGATAGCATAAGGACCTCAGACATTCCTACTCTGAAGGTAGAAGTGAAATGAGGCAAGTGCCACTCATTAGGCATAAATAAGAAAAAAGGAAATATGCTGATATATTTTTTCAAATTAAAAATCCCCATAGATGCTGCTATGGCTAATGACTTTGTGTATATATGAAAAAGAAAACGATGCCAGGATTAGTTTCAATATTGAAAGGCAATTACTGAGGTCTGACATAATGCAATTACAACAATTTTTCTGCTTGAGTTTGGAAAGAACACTAGCTTGTGAGAAAAGAAAAATCTTCTCTGGACCGAGTCTCATTCACTGTGATTATTGCTGCAAGTTTACCTTAAAAAAAAAAAAAAAAGGAAGCAACTGAGACTCTCAGTCTCCTTTTCTGTGACTGTGAGCAGACCAAGGAGATTGAGACTGTCTAGGAGGGGCTTCACAGGCTGACACAGCCACAGCTGCTATTGAAACACTATTAGATGCAGCTCTTCCTACACATTTAGTGTTGCTTTTGAGATTTAATGCATAGACTGAAATGATAATGAAAGCATGACTAATTGTTGTTTAGGACACCTAAAGCTCTGCAGTCTGGAAGGAATGGCCTCTTTCACATGCAGCAGATTGCCAAAAAAGCAAAGGCAGGGAGGCTAAAAATGAAGGAGCGAGCCTGTGTTCCTCTGGAAGCCATGAATTAGCCACATGAAATATGCCTCCTTTGGAAAAAAAACCTGGAAGATAAAAAACAACTTTTAAAACCAACCTTAATCTTTATAATCTTATCCTTGCAGTAGAGCAGAGGCTTTAAGTGCTGCCATGCCTGCAGAGTAGACATTGGAGTGAGATTGAATTGGCACAAATACATCTGCACATGCTCATGCAGAATTGATCAAAGCAGATTCTGACAACAAACGCTGCAAAAGGTTTGTTCTCTGTAATTATTTGTCTCTTGGTATTGCCTCTTCTGCTACACTTCAGCATGCAGAAAGAGCAAATCCGAAAAAGTCTGACAGAAATAGAGAGGTATCTGGACAGTGTCTGTTGTTGGAAAAATCATATTAAAGGAACACCCTAAATCCATCAGCAGCACTAAGAAAATGAAAGCAATAGTCTTTTCCACAATTGACACATTACAAGTCCAAGTTTAAATTGGCTTCTGCTGCATCTCCATATGGTATAAGAACTGTGATCTCCCACATGGAAAGGAAGAGGCCAGTTACCAAAAAAAATAAGAGGGGAAAAAAAAAAAAAGAAAAGAAGAAAAAAGCAAAAGCCGAAGAATAATACTTGGAAGCATTCAGTCTGGTCTGGAGCCAGCCCTATTCTGTGAAGTCTTCCTTATGCAGACAGTGAGTAACGTGTGCTTAAGATACAATAAAAAAGCATTAATCTGCAGTGGGCTTTTAAGGATATGTTTAGTGTTAGGCATGTGTTATCCTGATTATAGATACATGCGTGCTTAAGTGTTTATGTTAATCAGAATTATGGTTTTAAAAGTGCTTACAAGAACCCAGACATAAATTTATCTTTTCTGCAGAAGGCCACTTCTCCTGCAGCTCATTTTTCTCATTTCCTGGAGCATTTTTCTGTCAAGAGTGTATTTTGTACATAGCCTTGCATCGTCTGAGTATGTGCATGGTATCTTGAATCCTTGGTGTGAGCATCACAGCATTGCCTCTCCTTTGTCCTGACTGCAGTTCCAGTAGGAGATTGTAAATGCACAGGAGGAATGCAAATAGGTGCATTAAACTTGTATCAAAAATTAATTTAAGATTCTGTAGCTAAACATCAATTAAATATTCTAAATTGAACTTGAAAGACAAAACCGTGTTAGCATTGTAACCAGCTTTATTTTAGTTAACTGCATTTAAAGTTCTTGAGCCATTCCTAGATTAGATGTTCTCAGTTTTAAGTAATGCCACTAAAAACTGTTGGAGGCTCACAGCACCCACTGGGTGTTGATGTTCCCATGTTCCAGAGGAGCACTTGGTGCCCGTGGGATTCTGCTCACGCAGGAGCAACAGAGGTATCAGTTTGCATTACAGGAGATCTGGTGCATTCCTTAGCTCATGGTGTTATGTGAATTTGCCAGCTACCATGTCATCTATCTGCCAGCAGCCACACAGAATATCAGACTGATATCTTAGGGAGCACTCGGGCTTCAGAGGAGGAATACTATACACTGCAGCAATTGTTTTGCACCTTTCTCATTGTTCTTACTTCATTGCTGCACAGCTGATGGTAGACTCCTACTCTTTGTGACTCAGAGATTTAGGTGTTGACCTGATAAAGCTGGAGATAATTTAGTAGAGGCCGGGTGAACAAGCAGCTCAGGTTAGGTTCTGTGGGAAAGAAGTTGATCAACAGAATTTTGGAAAGGCTGTTATGACTTGTGACTCAAAGCTGTAAGATTGGTCCAAAGGCTGTTAATGTCCTTACAGAGCATTTTCAGTGCTTTCTGCAAAAGTATGGTGTTATAGGAATTGCAATTAATGTCAAGATCAGCATCCCATTTTTTGGTGGGTGTCATTTGTCCCAGTGACTCAAGGAGATCTGAACTGAATCTGAAATGAAAATTTTCCTTTATATTAAAAAAGAAAAACCAAAAAACAACCCATGTGGTTTATGTAAAAGTTAGATGAGAGAAGTTTTGAGCATGAACACTTAGAAAAAAATTCATTTTAATATTGTGTAGAGACACAAATGCTATCCACTGAAAAAAAGAGATGTATGTTTTCTGTTCTTCTGACCTAGATGTTTGAAGTTCTGCACTGACCTGTAGATGTTGGCTGTGTCACCAGTAGATGGCAATATTGTTCATTCCATATAGTTTCCATATGCTTGGCAAGTCCTACCAAAAGCGTTTCTATGCTGAAAAGACATAATTCTTCACATGTCTTTTAAACCACAGCGTGTGTACATGTTTGACAGGAGGCACTGCATGTTACTAAGAGGGCAGTTTGTCTCAGGTTTTGTTTATTTGCCTTGGACTGTAGAAAAAAATGTCTTTTGATTTCGAGGGATGTGTTATCTGGGTCTGACATAGTCTGTGGTAGATTCAGCCATGTCAGAGGGACAGATTATCTCCTCCAGCTGCTCCCAACCTTCCCTTTGCGGGAGGTTTCTGCCCTTGCAGAGCAGTTTGTATATCCATTCTTTAAATCACATTAGGGAGAGTCATCCTGTTTAAGCAAACCCTGCCAATTTTGCTGGAGGTAAATTAAAGAGAAGTTGCTTCAGCAGCATGGATGAGTAGAGCAGAAATTATGATAAGTGTCTGGGGATAGACAGTCTTCCAGAGGCAGGAGAAGAATCCTCTCACTTACAGGAGAACATCTGTGCCCACTCTGAAGGTCTTGCTCCACAGGGGGATGTCACTTTGGACTCACATTGGTTTTCTTCTAAATTCAGTGTTGATTTTCAAGCAGAGGTGAGCAAACATAAGCACTACCTGACTGTTTGGAGCAAACCTACAGCAAGTTAGTGAAAGCTCTGCTCGCTCAGGAGCTTGTAACACAAGGCCTGATGATCACTGTTATGATTACATGACATGGGGTTGGAAAAAAGCTGCAGGTCAAGAGTTTTGAAGTAGTGCTCTCTATTTGAGAAACAGAAACAATATTTACCTAACTGGGTAAATATTGAAAAGGTAGGGGAAGTTTTTGCATTAGGTGCATATTGCATGCTCTCTAATATCCATGAGTCTTTCTTAACCCCTAGGCTTTCTGCTTACTTAAATTTTCTGTAAAACAGCATGAGAACTGTCCTCCTCATTTATTTCTATTTCTTTTTATGTTTTGATCTCACTCACGTTGTTCAAGAATGTCTTGGGTAGAATGATCATAACTAGGAGTAAGACAAGCTACAAAAATAGGAATGTTCTTTCATATTAAATTATGTGGTTTTGCATACCTAGGGGAGCAGCCTCAGTTTTATTTTCTTAATTTTAATTTTTCTTCAAAACTGAAATGGAACCCAGGACACAGACTGAAGTGATTCAGTAGCTTTTCACCTTTATATAATAGCAATAAATCATGTTCCAGTTCAAAAGGAAGGAGCTTTGGTGAGCTCGTATCAATGAGTTTGTATTTTCTGTTCTTTGAGCAGGTTGGATACACGAATAGCAAGAAGATGGCTGTTTAGGATTAAGATTTATCACTAGAATTACCTGGAGAGAGGTCTAATATCTGCAAACCGAGTGAATTAACTTTCTGTTATGTTGTATGTTACATCTGGTAGCATTTGCTAATCCCACAGGTTTTACAGCTCCAAGATGCGTTGCAAATTTTGAAATTAAAAATTGACACCCATCTTTGCAGGTTGCCATAGTTAGGATACTGAGTGAACTTGCAGAACTGCTGCAGCATCAAGGCTTTCATTCTCTTTGAGAGTCATTTTGATTTTGGCAACTCTGTGTTGGTTAGGAGTTCTGTTTCTGACAGTGCCATCATATCACTGTGACTCTTAGATAAATCACTTAGGCTCTGGTTTTTTTCCATTCTCCTTAAGAAAATGAGAAGATAAAATATATGCATATATATCTATAAAGTAATTTGAAAATTTTAATTGGAAAATACTTTCTAGTATAAGGTGCAAAGATCAGTCTTTAGTAGTAATAGTTGCATGTAAGTATATTATCAAAGATTAAACTTACTTACTGTCCCTGTGTAGAAGACTTTACAGCTTCATTCTCTAAGTACTGATATTTAATAGTGGTCTGATTTCTGTAATAAGATGCTCTTGTCCTAAGATCATGTGCCTATCAGATAGATTTAATCACTCTTGAATCCATTGCTGCAATCTCAAATTGGATGGAAGACCTTTTAATCTGAAAATAGACCATATAGGTGGTTCTGAGCCGGAGTTTTACATCAGTGTATCCATCTCCAGCAGTCTTTGTGCCTGTTGCCAACTTCTCTGCAGTTTTCATTGTCTCCATTCCCATAGAATGAAGTGGGTAGGTTTAATTGAGGACTTTATTTTTGTATGGGCAGGTAATCTCACCTCGGCGCATTCCTGCCACTGTGACTCCCACCCTGCTGATGTCCCCGATGGTGTTCACTCAGTCCACACCTGCTCCACCAAAAGCCAGTGACAGTGGGCGGTTGGCAGGGGCCAGCCAAGACCCTGCTGCCAGCTCTGCCAACCTTCTCCTGCCCCTGCCAACCCCAGAGCCAGCTGTGGCCAGCAGCACCTCCATGACAAAGATGCAGCTGCAGGAAACACTTCTACACCTGATCCAGGTAAAGTGCCAGGGGTTCTCCCACTTTGCATAAAATCCGGATGCCCATTTTGGTATAAGCACCTCTGATCAGTTGTGTCTGTCTAGAGGCTGAATGAATAATTAAAATATATGTTGGAAGTTGTGCTCCCTGTGGCTGCCTAATAACAAGGCACCATGACATAGGCTGGGGATGTGAGAGCTTCTGCTTGCACACTGGTGGTTCAACTGCATTTTGATTAATGTGTCTGATTTTGGGTTCAGGAAAGATAATAATTTTGATGGAAAAGAACAAAATGAATGAAAGCTTTGTAAGGTCAGCCTATGAGCCAGAGAGATATCTATTATATTTTTAGCTAAGGATAAATAGTGGGTGATTATCCCAGCTGCCAAAAATTTCAGAGATGCGTATAAGCAGCAAGAGGAATTCAAAAGGGAAATTAAAATTGCAGGATGAGTGTGAGCAACTTTAAACTATGGGTTAGATAACATGAATATATACTAGTTCAGCTTAGCATTTGGACTGGAGGATGACAGTGAATAAAATTCCTTTTGCTGCAGTTTTTCAGGTTTAATTGTGACAAAGCATTAACAACATTATGAGATGCTTGCTTACTGCTCTGGGATGATGCATAATTATGAATATTTTTTTTCCTTAACTTGCCATGTGATGAATATCTGAGGAGTAGAAGTTGAGGAGACATTACATAACTAAAGACCTGGCTACAAAACACAAGACACAGAGACACAGGTTAAGGGTCTACTTTGTAGGCCAAAACTATGTGCCTGTATGGCTTTGGAATAAAATCAGAAGTTGTTATTGGAATGTTGAAGTTACTTAAAATGCTATTTATATTATAGATCCAGAAAGAAAATAGTATCTTTAACAAATTAGAGGCTTTTCTCATTTTTGCCTGTATTTTTATTTTGGGATTAAAAACAAAATCTCATTATCCTATCTTTACATACTTTGACTATCTGGATAGTATATAGAAAATTAAAAAGGAAACTAGTCAAGGAAAATTGGGTTTTACCCTCTGTAACTCTGTACTTGTAAAATATATATTTAACCCTGCTTGTCTTGGTGGTAGTTAGGATTAACTGAGTTACCTGGAAATTATTTACTGCCAATTTGTTAGCTGTCATTTTCCATTATATAAAACAACAATCTTGGATGCTCCTGATTTTCCATAAATATCATCTTGATTGTAATTATCCTCATATGTTTATGTGAGCTACTTATAATATTCTTTCTTAATGTGGGTTGACTCATTCTTGCAAATTGTTCTTCAGAAGGAAAAAGTTAAGCAGCAGAGCAAAAGGAGCAGCATCTGTTAGGAGTGTTAAGCCTAAAAGAGCTAAACAAGATGCAAGGATTTGCCCAGGTAGGATTTAGTGTAGGAACAAGACCCAGGGTGTTTCTCTGTTCCTTTAGATGTGCTTGGAATTCTGACTGACCTGATGGAGGACACAGTTTAAGGAAATCCCTAGGTCAGTGCTGGTAAAGAGAAGGAATTACAGGGTTGTATTGTCACTGGGTTATCATGCAAGAATAAATCCATGATAAGACTGGAAAACCTATTCTCTGTGTCCTCATTGCTACTTGCTGACATACAGTCACATCCAGTTCTTGTAAGGCTGCTGACAAGGCTGGGAAATAATACGTATTTTTATGTAAAGGAAATAGCCTTCCTATGGCTGGCTCTTTAAAACAGAGTAAGGCTGAAAAGTATCTGGTCCATAAAATGGAATAAATGACCTTCTAATCTCTTTACTCCAAGTGCCTATCCAGCTAACAACTACCTGTTTTGTTTTTTTCAGAATGATGACAACTTCTTAAATATTATTTACGAAGCGTATCTCTTCAGTGTGAGAAAGGCAGCAATGAAGAAGTCTATGTGAAAGATGATTTTTTTTTTTTAATTCAATTTCCATTGCTTCCTGAACTCCAGGAAAAAAAGATTTCGAAATTTTCAAGTATGTTTATGTTTGAAGAAGTGAATGGTCTTGGGCATGTTGCATACACGTGGATTTTGCACGTTGGCAAAGACATGCTGTACTGAGGAAAAAAAGAGTGGAAATGGATTGTGCCTTTAGCAAGGGGAACGTCACAATACTGGAGACTTAATCACAAAATATCTTAAATTATTTTTCTTAATCTTGATCCACGCTTAGAATTGGTTTCCCTGCATAAGGACTCAGTTCTCGGGATCCAGTTTCCCTTTTTCTACTTGCAGTGTGGTCATTCATTGACTGGGCATTTTTGTCCTGGGTTTTCCCTGAGCCGTCCTGTGCAGCTGTCCCGGTGAACGTGCCCATCCCTGACCACATGGTGGCAATGTTGGACTATTTTTAGGAACGGGTGAAAATCCGGGTGAAATCATGGAACGGAAAGTCTCGGGAAGATTGATCATCGTACTTAGTTGTCTGCAAAGCAGTTTAGATGAAGTGTCATGACTTCCCCCCAAATTTTTGTAGAAAAATCTTTTTCTATTTTGACAAGACTATTTTTAGCTAGGTGTAGAAGTGGGATTCTGCAGGTGTTCTGAGGAATTGTGGGGGGGGTGGGTTTGTGAATGTACTTGCTATCACATAGCTCTGGGGTTGCACTGGATTCATGTTTCTATTATTCCAGGCCCAATCTGCATTATTATAAGCAATGTGAAAATTTGCTAAGGGGAAGGCTACCTGGTGTAAAAATCCTATTAAATTTTTTTTAGTGTGTTCCTGGAGCACAGTGATTTCATTGATCCATTTCTTAAGAAAATAAAAAGGATAATCCCTACTGTGTGTTGAGTTCATTTTATTGTACCATGGACTATGTATTTAGGATTGCTGGGTCTCTTGTTTGTATGACTTTAAAAGGTTTTTATGCTTGTCAAGAAGACACATGAGATCTTAAATCAATTAGAATAAATGACTGAAATAATTTTTCACTAGCATCTGCTGCTGAAGTGCCAGTTTACTACACTTTAGGAACACACAGTTGTTGCTGAAGAGGCATTTCTTTTGTGGGCGCAGAGAACCCAAACTGCAAGCCATGAGTGATTCTACAATCTTCTTTACTGTGGGCATTGATGTAGGCACAACTCATTAGCCTCATCTGTGAAAGTTCTTCATGTAAATTTGGCTGCAGGTTTCAATTAGTGCAGTTGTAATGATTCAAACAGTTGCTCCTGCCCCCATACCCATGCAAGGATGGGGGGGAATTTACTCTCTTTCTTTGGGAAAGGCTCTAAATCAATAGTAAAAAATAAAGTCAAGAGCTATTTTCTTTATTAACATAAGCCAATAACCTCAAGAGACTCGTGCCCACAAAGCTGCCAGACTTTCCCTTCACTAAGTAACTGGCAGACAGCAAGTCCTACTCTAGTTCCATTTTATTACCAAACTGCTTACAAATCTTGCAGATTCAGTGAAATGAACATGCTGAGCAGATACCAGGAAAAGCAGACTTCAGAGATAGCAAGGCCTAATTCTAATCCTGCAGCCTTTGTCATTTATGTGGCCATATAATTTGTGGGATTCTACTGAGTTAATTGGTATTATTTCTGAATGAACTGGTGTGGAAGAAATTGCAGTTTACACAAAAGGGTTTGAAAGTAAATACATGCCTAATTGGTGTCTGTGATGTTGGATTATCTGAGAGTGCAATTTAAAGATGATGGGGACACATAGTTAATACCTCATTTGACATATAGAACTTCTTTAATTGGTGGCTAAAAATAATCCTTAAGCATTTCAAGCTGTGTTTCTGATAGGTTTTCTACTCGTGGGGGAAAACATTTTTATTTACAAAAAGGCAAGTAGAAATTTTAAAAACCTCTTTATTTATTGCTTTTCAGAGCAATTTACAAAAATTAAAGGCATATTTTTTAAAACATCTGTTAACTCTTGATGCCTATGACAACTGTAGCATTGGCATTACACTTGACAAGCTGAGGCTTAAAGCAGACAAGGATTGAGCTAATTCAGGGTTTCTTTTCACTGCCCTCTCTTCTGGTTACATCTACACCAAGTACCCCTGGCAGAGTTGGATTGCTCTCACTGTATTATGCTGTAAGGGATTTCTGAGATTGTTCATGAGCCATAAACTTGCCTCTTGTGGAAAGTAGCTGCTAAAGAAGGGAGGTGCTGTTTTAGCTCACTGTCATGCTTACCTAGAACAACAGCGATAAGAGAATAGAACAAACTCAGAAAGAAACTCTGAATTTTATGAGAAGGAACAGAAGAGGAGTAGTGAGAGAATTCTGTTGAGAAATAAAGACAAACTTCATGTTTAGGTTTCCATCTTAGATGGCAGGATCTGCTTCTTCAGGTCCATTTGGGAACTGAAGACTGAGCGTGGAGTGTAAAACTGAGCTGTGCCCCTTTCTCTCTTCTTTCTACTACAAACTGAAGTATCTGTCTCAGAAAAAGGCTTTTTCCAGAAATATAGTCAGAGACTTCCAGTACTGTGGAAACCTGGAGGATTCTCACTTAATACTGAAAACCTAATCTCTGCCTTGTGGATTTTTAGCAGGTTTGTATCAGCTGGTGCTGTCTCTGTGCAGCCAGATCTGTGTGTGACACCAAAAAGGTTATTTTGGGTTTGATAGATCCCCTCTGAATACAGTAGTTGTGAACAGTCTATTTTATTTTATTTTTTTACTACATGGTTGGAGCTCTTAAGGTAACAAGGCCTTTTGAGAAGAAAAGGGTGCAGCAGTTGGGATTGCCTTACTTTGGGCCTGTTTTTTTACCTGTATAAGGAAAAAAGGTAGCAAGCAGAAAATTGGAAAGTGTGTAAGGATCCCATTAACTGCTTTAAATGATTCCACAGAATGTATATGTAATATTTTTAGTGTCTGTGTATTTCTTAATATAGTGCTTGCTTTGGGTTGGTTGGTTTGGTTGGTTTTTTATTTATTTCCAGTAGAATTAAATAACTTGTATATTGTGGCTTAGCAGGAATTCCAGAAGTTGCAGCGGTGCTTTTATTCATTAATCCCAGATTCAGCCTTGAATTGATATTACTTTTCAGTGTAGTTCCACTTAACCACTGTCCACTTGCTCAGAAAATTCCACACCTTTAAAACTAGAGTGAGAAATCAAGGAGTAGAAAGCCAGTGAAAACACTGAAGCATAATTTCTGTCAGTGTTTATCATGGAAATCCATAATATTCATTGAAGGAATCCAAGTATTTTCTCACAGAAAATTCAAACCCTCAGTATGATTTTTATTCAGTAGTGCTCTGTTGCTCCTCTGTTTACTCCTCCTCGTAGCTGCAAAGGTTACAGACCGTTCAGAGGCTGTAACGAGGTTCTTTTAAAGCATTACTTCGAAGGCAAGATTAAGGCAAAAAACTCCAAATGTTAGGTCTCAAACAGACAATTAACTTTATTTGTAACAATAAGTAACGGTAAAAGCGAGGAGGGGGAGAAGAAGAGGGAGAGATAAGGAAAAGGAAAGGCTACAAAGCACCACCAGTGAGGGAACCGGGTGTAGTCAGCTCCAGGGAACTGGAGGTGTGGTCAGTCAGCTCCAGGCAGTCAGGGAAGGACCGCTGGAGAGAAGCACGTGGTGAGCAGCCTGAATCCAAGAGAAGCAGGAGACGCAGGCAGGTGGGACACGAGCAGGAATGGAGGCAGGCAGGACGGAGCGAGGAGTGGGGCCAGGAGACCCTGGGTAACACCGACTGGGCTGGACCAGTCAACAGCGCTGGGCACTGCCTTAAATCCCCCCCGGGGGACGCTCACTGGCCAGCTTGGCTCCGGGCAGATCTCTTCACGATGTCCATTGGGGATGCTGCTGCTATCCAGGCGGGCTGGCTCTGCCAAGGCGGGAAAATGGAGCACCTTTCTGTTGTAGACTCTCCAGGGTGCCAGCGAGCAGTGCAAAATGCCCCCCTAGGTCGATGAAGACAGCCCTGCTAAAAGCTAAAGTCGGTGTCCCCCATTATGTTCGGTCGCCTCCAAAACTTAACCTTGGCAAGTCCCTCAGCTGATGGAAGAGGCTCCGTTAGTGTGAAGTGGTTAAACGCCTTAAATGCCGCTTGTGCAACTTTAAAGGGCTTCGAAGAAGCCTTGCCCAAGGCCTTTAATTGCCCCATTAACACCTCTGGCGGCCAGTTATCAGTTGTTCATTACACCAATGTCAATGTAAAAACAAAGAAGCCAGTTAGAGATGGAACAATCTCTTACAAATGGGAGTAATTAAGATGGTGCGGCAAAATAAAATTTTCCAGGAGCAGGATGCAGCTGAACAGGCAGGATGCTTCATCTCCTCTGACAGCCTATTTAGAACGTGTTGAGCTCTGATTTTCAGTCATAAAAGTGGAGGGGATTGGAGATATCTTAGTCCCTTTAGGACACATTAAAATCATGGTTCAATATATTAGCAAACTTGGAGATCTTTGCTGAGGAAAAGGCAAAATTAAAAGATATTTTTCAGTAAGTACAAAAAATTTGGGGGATGAGGGAAAACCCGGACTGGATTTTTCCAAAGTACGGAATAGAAAAAAACCCGGACTGGATTTTTCCAAATTATGGAAAACCCAGACTGGATTTTTCCAGAGTACAGAATGGGGAAAAAAAACTGGACTGGATTTTTCCAAAGTAAGGAATGGGGGGGAAACCCAGACTGGATTTCAAAAAAAAAGAAAAAAAGAAGAGTTGGACTTGATGATCTCAGAGGTCCTTTCCAACCTGGCTGATTCTATGATTCTGTGAAAATGTTATGAGAAGGCAGCTTTACCCAGGGAGATCCATGACACCTAGAAACAGGCAAAATTTTAGGCCTGGAGATGAATAATGTACTAAAAAATTAATTCTCAGTCAACTTCTAGTAAACTTTACTGCTAATTCTGATGACTTTTAAGAGACTCTTCCAAGTCCTTGCCTTTTCCAAAGTGCTGTGAATTTTTCTAACAAGCGTCTTCTGGCCTTTAGATATAAATCTGTGCACAGCTGAGTTGGAAATATAGGAGGAGGGAGCTTGGCATATATACAAGCAGCAAGTGGAAAATGGGGTTCTGCAAGACACTGAAGAAGCAAAGGTTGTAGCCCATCCCAGCTACCCACTCCTGGCTGCTCATCCCTGCTCCCACACTAGTCTTTCCTGCCTTTTGCATTAATTTTTCTCCCTTTTTATTTTAAGATGGCTACATGTTGCAGCAGAATTAGTCCGGGCTAAGACTTCCGCCGTGCCAAGGTTGGTTTTAGTGTATTTGAGCTCAGTGGGCAGCAGCCCAGGAGCCTGGATCAGTGTATGGCTGGGATGTGCAGGGGTTAAGTAGGGGGCATGTGGGGAGAGGAAAGTGAGGCAGGAGATGTGAGCTGTGCTACTGCCTTAAACTGATTGAAGCTTTTGTGAAACTGGGGCCTCTTCGCTGACACTGAGACTTGGATGGTGGCACCAAGACCAAACTGTGACTTTGTTGTGTCCCCTACCTTGGCTGTCTGTGGAAATCCTTGGGAATGTTCGCAGATACCCTCACAAAGGGTAACTACAGACCATGAGCCTGATCTCACCGCAGACCAAGCAGAAAGACAGGGGCCTTTTGAGGGCAAGTCTCAGCACAAACCTAATTTAGCTTGGGAGATTAAAGTGTCTGGGCTAAAGTTAGCCTTCCCCACCACCACCATCTTGTACTGACCAGTACTGGCATGACAGCCAGACCCTACCTTTCCTTGGAATAGAGCAGATGTTGGGATGAATATTCCTTTTATTTATTTTTTTTTAATTTAATAGAGGTTGTACCATCAAACCAGGACAGACTGTTCAGATATAAATCTGCCCAGCATGGAAGTGAATGTGAAATGCAGGAACCAGAATTCTTTTGTAGGGGTAGCTGAAAAAAACTACTGAAACAAGCAGGAAATAAGCTCTGGAAAAATAAAGGGGAGAGGGGGGAAA